GACAGCTGCAACACGTGTCCTCCGCTACATTAAAGGGACTATTGGACATGGCATTTTTTTCTCTTCCTCCGCTAATCTTCATGTCAGCGCCTACACAGACTCTGATTGGGCTAGTTGTCCTACCACTGGGCGCTCTACCACTGGCTTCTTCATCACACTTGGTTCCAGTCCCATTTCTTGGCGCACTAAGAAACAGACTACAGTGGCACGCTCTTCCACAGAAGCTGAATATCGCGCTATGGCCGTCACCACATGTGAACTAATTTGGTTGAAACAGCTTCTCCATGACATTGGGATCTCACACAAAGAACCAATGACCCTCTACTGTGACAACCAGTCCGCCATCCACATTGCTCAGAATCCAATTTTTCATGAACGAACAAAGCATATTGAGATCGATTGCCACATCGTTCGTGAAAAACTTCGTTCTGGTCTCTTCATCACTACTCATCTTCCATCTTCCGAGCAGATTGCAGACATCTTCACCAAAGCATTGGGATCTGACCTCTTTCATCACTTATCTCGCAAGTTGGGCATTACGGATCTTCACGCACCAACTTGAGGGGGAGTATTACAGCACAGAAAAATCCCACAAGTTTAGCTCCCATGATTTTAGTAATCCCAGAAGTTTAGCTAATCATTTGTAATAGAATAATTGATAGATTCCTTTTATTTCCATATAAACAATTGCCATGTACTACTATAAATTATACTGGTCAATGAGAAATAAAGCATAACAGTTTTCTACCAATTTGCTTCTTTTACATACGTGAAGCAAAGCTCTTTTGAATAAGCAATTCTAGTGGTCGCTTAATGCTAAAGTCATCAGTTGCTCTGGACCGTTGATCATCATCTCATATCAACATTGAAAGAGTAGGGAATAAATACCATAAGAGTAATTTTTTGTATTTGATTTAAGGGGTTAAACCACCTGGTGGCCGCTAGAAATCTTGCTTTTCAGCAAAAATTCATGTTAGCGACTCGAACTTTATTTCATGTTGGACAGTTTAATATCAGCCTATGTTTGGCTGACGTTTTTATATATTCAAACTTNATATCAGCCTATGTTTGGCTGACGTTTTTATATATTCAAACTTTTTTTATCCATACATTCTGAAGTATCCATCATGTTAGCTCTTTCATAGTAGCAAGCAATTTTTGTATTTGAATTTGCTTGAATGTAAATGCATCTAAAAAAAAAAGGCATCTGACATAAAATGCAAACAATAGACTTCCAAAGTTCCAAAAGCACAAAAAATTAACAGACAGCAATATTGATATGTTCTGTAAAGACCTCCAAAATTTCTCCCTCTACCCAGAAAATGGACTGAAAAAACTTTCAGCTAACTTCCCAATACTCTTGATTCTCCTCCTATATATACACTATTTGCACAAACATTTCACAACACTAATTCACATATTTCACCATTCATTCCTTTTCACTTTTACCGTGGCTTTTAACTCCATATTTCCATTCATTTTCCAGTAAACATCTACTAATAAATAAACTGAGAATTACGACCATAAAGGATCTCCACAACCAACCCAAAATTAATTGTTTTCTTGTATTGTCGAAAGGGCAAAATATTCGGCAAAAAACCTTGACCATGTCCAACCCGGAGAGAGAGAGAGAGTTGAAGAGACAAGTCATTAGTTTGACAAAAGATTGTTCACCATGGCAGATGACCAGAAATCAGCACCATTGGAGTCTGCTATATGTAGGGTTAACTCAACAGGAACCAGACACAGCCCTTTGCTCCTTAGATCTTTTCTTGTTTCAGTTACACTCTTCCCCGTTATTTCTTTGTCCTCCTGCATGTCCAAATCTATTGTCAGCGTACAAGGTGGAAAATTTTGGCTACTTACAATTTTTTGAGTAGAATATACAAATACTAGTGTCTTCTTGTGTTTTTTTTTCCCCATGAAAACAATGCAATGATCGTTGAAATAAGAAAGGATTGAGAAATTTTTTTCTCGCTAGAATTATATTCTGCAACGTTCATATGAAAAGATAAACTCGGAATCGGAAATCAAATTCAATTCACACAAGACTCTATTTCAACATCCTACAAAAATTTTAGGTAACCTCTGAAAATTTCCATTTTACAAATTTAAACACAGCCATTTATACTTGTTCAAAACATCATAAGTGGCACTGGAAGCCTCTCTAGTAGGTGGTGTTTTAGATTTCAATCTCAAGCTCAAAAATTATGAACTATATATTGAAGGATCAATCTATTGAAAATTTCGCTCTGTAACTCAATGACCTTTTATTTAAAAAATATGATTTGTACCTCCTATAATTTTGGACTTTTTTTTCTCGAAATTATTAATTTCAAGATTCTAGTTAATAATCACGTAAAATGAAATGAAAAGTATTGTATAAATTGAAAAATATTCTAGTTAATTTCAATTCATTTTATATCATCGAAAGTCTGCTATGTATATAAATTCATAAATAAAATTTATTAATGATGGCAAAACTTGATCCTACAACCTTGTTGCTCCAATGTTGTTCCTATACCATGCTGAACAACTTCGTTACAAAGAAGTAAAATTCTTGTCAATTACCACTAGGGATGTCAATGGGTCGGGCGGGCTAACTCGAGCTCACCCACGACCCCTATATATTTGAAATGTGACCAAACGGTCACATTTTTATGAGCCGCTTGTCCCGGCTCGCCCAAATTTCTTTGGGCTATGCTCACGCGACAAGACCGAGCAGCCCATGGGCCAAGCCCAGACCATCCGAGAGGTCAAGCCGACTAGCCGCTCGGCCCAATGGCCACACCTATCAATTATACTGTTCATTCCGATCTACAATATACTAGGCTGTACAATACATGATCCAAGTTGTTGGACAGAGGCCTAATAGCTAGCCAGGTCTCAGGTGCTGAGATATGCATATTTGAGTTTATTAAAGTGTGACGAGAAATACTTACAGGCAGAGAGTGAATGTATGGAGAACACAGAACTTGAACTTGATCCTGCAGAAACCTGATATAACCCATTGCTTCATGAAGTACTGAAGCTGTATCTGTCTGCACCGTTATACATTTACACTATAAAATTATAAATCCAGATATATCTCCATATATATAAACATGATTTTAATATGTGCATAGTGAAATTTTAAAAAATTAATTAAATGAAATAAATATTTGCAAAGTGATCAAATGAAAATCAAACCTTGCCAAAGGGTGATACAAGTTGCTGCAATGCCGTGATTCTTTCACCAAGCTTCTCTTTCTTCACCTAGATTTAACCCAAACGTGTAAAATATTAAGCATTTGGCAACATCGATCTGCTTATTAAACTAAAAGTTTAAGCAAATATATAATGCATTTATTTATTTAGAAATTTAGCGTTCCCTCACATGCAATTCCTAGTCTTCACTGACCTTTGCATGGCCGGTGACCACCGATGAGTTTTCCGACTTGGTTTTCTTACAGTATTTCTGAGATCCTGCCGTAGCTTCGGTATTAACGCCGGAGTTCAGATTAGATTCTCCACACCCCGGCCCATTTCTCTTCTTAGATTTTGGCAGTGTATTCGTATCGCTGATGTAATTTGTTGAAGAAGTCGAGGATGAATCACTGCATATAACTCCAGATTTTTCAGCCGTTTTAATAGAATTCTCCACCATCTTCAAATCACATTCTTTGCCATAGTCTCCCAAACACAGCATTTTCGGAGGATTATCACATGAAAAAAATGAATTAAAATTGAAACCTTCGTCCTCAAACCCATCCATACCCGTACCCGCCATTGTTGCGGACAGAAGCTTGTGTATATTTGTAGTGGATGGGGTGAGGTGGGGTGGGGTGGGTTATAGGGTAGAAGAAGAAATGAAGAATGGGGTTTTATGGGAGTAAACAACGGAAGCTTTAGCTTCTCGTTTTGAGTCAGAGACTAGGCCAGTTTAAGCTACGTGTTGTCTTGTGCTGTTCTGTGCTGTTCAAATTCAATACATTTTCTTTCTATATGTATAGATTTCTCTTTCTATATCTATATATCTTGGAATGGAGTTACTGAGAGATAGGCTTTGGTTTTGTCATCACAGTCAAGTCTTCAAAACCCACCACCATAACCGAGAAAACCGTGCTTTATCAGTCCAAAGTAAGAGACGGTTCGGACCCCTACACAACTGTTATAATTTCATCGAAATTATATAGTACTACGACAAATTGTTAAATTACGGAAAATATTATAATTTTCTTCCATGGACTCCTCTTAACCTGAGCTTGTCGAGTTAATCGGACAACAATGTAAACTAGCATTTTTACCCCAACATGCCATTGAAATGCAAATTTAACCAAGTGTTACATAATATGACTTACAAGTTGAATGAGTTGAACTAACAATTAGTCTTGTTGATGCTCATATTGTAGCAAGAAAAGAAAAATATTGCATCTTGAGGGGCCAGGCATAGACCCTAGGATTAGTCGCCGAAAGTGAACACCTGAGTATCAGAAAAAAAAAATTAATTAGAATGAAAACCCTTTGTCACGTAATAAATGACGCTAATTTGCTCTAATTATGTCATGAATCCCTCTTCACAATTTTCATTAATGGTTTAGGTGACATAGACCCAATCATTATTGTTCAATTTAATAAAATACATCACCATTTTAACAATGAATAAGGATTCCCACTATCAACATAGACTAATAATAATTTGTATTAATGAAAAATAATATTGCTCAGTGTTAGGTTTTAAATTGTATTGGTTATTCTTTAAACAAAATGATTATTATAAAAAGAGTTGTAAAAGTCAAGGAGTCTTTTGGGATATTGTATAGATGAATTAGGAGTATTTGAGTTTGAGTATAGAACATGGAAAAAGAGTCGTCGGAATTATGTTAGCCTTGTCGCCCTCAAACGTCCAAAATTGAATCACTGTTGCCCGTCTGTAGCTCAAGCGACACGCCTTCGCTCTCCTGGTGCTGGAGCGACTGTGTTTTTCGAGAAACTCTAGTTCGCGATTTTCAAGAGTTCTATCTATCTCATAATATCCAATACCTTTATACTATAAATACTCAAGTCCCACTTCATGAAAACGATGGTTGATCATTATTTTCTACCTTCATAACATTTTTTGGAGATCAACCAATAATTCTACATCTTGACATCAATCAACCACAAGTTGAAAAATATCAAAATTAAATAATTCAAAACACCAACATCCTAAATATAATCAAGAATGTACTTTCTCAATAACTTTCAGATGTTGCTGAAGATTGAGGGAGATTGGATCAGAAGTACAAGAATAATACAAGAACATGGTGTTCTTTGTGTTCCGTAGGAGATGAACAACTCTAGAAGCTCGGGAGCAGGTGTGAGCGAAACACATTCCAGCGGGTCTTGGAGATTGCAGGAATTATATCGGCGAATCTAGTAGGTTTTCTAGGTTTGATCATACTATAAGTTCTTATTGTCTATAGTGAAAATTACTAGATTGGTCCCGGAGTTTTTAATCAAATGAAGGATTTTCTTTAATAAATCTTGTGTTATTTTATGTTTTATTTATTATTGTGACAATTCAACATAGGATAAAATTGACTTGATTCACTAGATATCTAGAACAATTAAAATGTGACTGGTTACTTTGAATTAGTAATTTTAATTTCGCATTATTCACATATTCACCACCCTCTAGATGATTTTAGGGTCGAACTTGTAACTTTCAATTGGTATCAGAGCCCAAATTCGATTCCTCGCCCTAGTTTTTTAGATAAGTAGTTCATTTTCTATTCCGCTATATTTTGATGGCAGTAACTACGCCTATTAGAAAGTTAGAATGAGTGTCTTTCTGAAATCGATGGATGGGCATATTTGGTTGAGCATAGTGAATGGTTGCACTACCCTTCTAGCATCGTTAATGATGTCGTCACTCCACTTCTATAGCTAACTGGTCAAAAACTAATTTAAATGAGTGTAATTGGAATAGTAAGGCTTTACGTGCTTTATTTGTGGTTGTGTCACAAGAAGAATTTAGACATGTGTCTATATGTGAAGTTGTTAAAGAGGTTTGAGATATTTTACAGACCAAACACGAGGGAACTCGATCTGTTAAGAACTCTAAGTTACAGATGTTGACCACTAGGTTCGAAGAGATTAGGATGAAGGATGATGAGACCTTCGATGACTTCCATGCGAGCTTGAATGACATATTTAATTCTAGTTTCAACCTAAGTGAGAGAATTCCTGAGCCTAAGATTGTCAGAAAAATCCTTATACCTTTACTAGAAAAATCCTAAAATCACGGTTATCAAGGAGAGCAATGATTTAGATACGGTTAAAATTGAAGAATTAATTAGATCTTTCCAAACCTATAAACTCACCATATCTCAATCTAAGAAGAACAAGTCTATAGCCTTGAACGCTGTTAGGGAAGAAAAGTATGACTGTACTGATACAGAGACCGTTAATGATGAGGAGATAGTTCATTTCGCTAAGAAATTTTGAAAAGTGTTGAGAAATAAGAAGAAGTCTCAAGAGAGATATAGAGGTGCTTCCAGTGATTCTAGAAGAGATCTAAATCCGTGAGATGTTATAAGTGTCAAGGTTTGACTTCTATAAAAGTGAGTGCCCTAACAGTAAGATAAATTAGGATAAAACTATGAATACAACTCATTGATATTGAGTCTAGCTCGAACAATCAAAGAGAGAGATCTACTCAAGATAAGAGTGAGAAGTTTATGGCCTTCACTGCTAGGATTAATAATGAATCTGATAAGGACAACGAGAAAGTTGAGGAAGTAGATAGTAGTGAGCATTCTAAGGAAGATTCTTAAGATGAGGAAGAAATTTGTGAGGCTTATCATCAATTATTTGAAGAGAGTCTAAAGATCAAGAAGGTGAATAAGGTCATGTTTAAAAGGTTAATGCACTTGAGTTAGAAAGAGAAAGACTTATATATGACCTCCAGGAGTCCACCAAAAGCCTTAGGAAGTTAAGATTAGTCCAAGGGAACTTAGAGGCCAAGGTTAGACAAGAGACCTTGAAAAATCTAATACTCAACTCCATTCCTTCATGAGTGGATCTCACAAACTGGACAATATTATTGTTCAATTTAATAAAATACATCACCATTTTAACAATGAATAAGGATTCCCACTATCAACATAGACTAATAATAATTTGTATTAATGAAAAATAATATTGCTCAGTGTTAGGTTTTAAATTATATTGGTTATTCTTTAAACAAAATGATTATTATAAAAAGAGTTGTAAAAGTCAAAGAGTCTTTTGGGATATTGTATAGATGAATTAGGAGTATTTGAGTTCGAGTATGAAACATGGAAAAAGAGTCGTCGGAATTATGTTAGCCTTGTCGCCCTCAAACGTCCAAAATTGAATCACTGTTGCCCGTCTGTAGCTCAAGCGACACGCCTTCGCTCTCCTGGTGCTGGAGCGACGATGTTTTTCGAGAAATCCTAATTCGCGATTTTCAAGAGTTCTATCTATCTCATACTATCCAATACCTTTATACTATAAATACTCAAGTCCCACTTCATGAAAACGATGGTTGATCATTATTTTCTACCTTCATAACATCTTTTGGAGATCAACCAATAATTCTACATCTTGACATCAATCAACCACAAGTTGAAAAATATCAAAATTAAATAATCCAAAACACCAACATCCTAAATATAATCAAGAATGTACTTTCTCAATAACTTTCAGATGTTGCTGAAGATTGAGGGAGATTGGATCAGAAGTACAAGAATAATACAAGAACATGGTGTTCTTTGTGTTCCGTAGGAAATGAACAACTCTAGAAGCTCGGGAGCAGGTGTGAGCGAAGCACATTCCAGCGGGTCTTGGAGATTGCAGGAATTATATCAGCGAATCTAGTAGGTTTTCTAGGTTTGATCATACTATAAGTTCTTATTGTCTATAGTGAAAATTACTAGATTGGTCCCAGAGTTTTTAATCAAATGAAGGATTTTCTCCGTCAATAAATCTTGTGTTATTTTATGTTTTATTTACTATTGTGACAATTCAACATAGGATAAAATTGACTTGATTCACTAGATATCTAGAACAATTAAAATGTGACTTGTTACTTTGAATTAGTAATTTTAATTTCGCGTTATTCACATATTCACCACCCTCTAGATGATTCTAGGGTCGAACTTGTAACTTTCAATTGGTATCAGAGCCCAAATTCGATTCCTCGCCCTAGTTTTTTAGGTAAGTAGTTCATTTTCTATTCCGCTATATTTTGATGGCAGTAACTACGCCTATTAGAAAGTTAGAATGAGTGTCTTTCTAAAATCGATGGATGAGCATATTTGGTTGAGCATAGTGAATGGTTGGACTACCCCTTCTAGCATCGTTAATGATGTCGTCACTCCACTTCTATAGCTAACTGGTCAAAAACTAATTTAAATGAGTGTAATTGGAATAGTAAGGCTTTACATGCTTTATTTATTGTTGTGTCACAAGAAGAATTTAGACATGTGTCTATATGTGAGGTTGTTAAAGAGGTTTGAGATACTTTACAGACCAAACACAAGGGAACTCGATCTGTTAAGAACTCTAAGTTACAGATGTTGACCACTAGGTTCGAAGAAATTAGGATGAAGGATGATGAGACCTTCGATAACTTCCATGCGAGCTTGAATGACATATTTAATTCTAGTTTCAACCTAAGTGAGAGAATTTCTGAGCCTAAGATTGTCAGAAAAATCCTTATACCTTTACTAGAAAAATCCTAAAATCACGGTTATCAAGGAGAACAATGATTTAGATACGGTT